GGCGGGAAACACACACACACACATACACCACACACACATACACCACACACACACACACACACACACACACACACACACTCACACGCGCGCGCGCGCGCGCACCGGGCCTTGCACTTTGAATGCCGTGGGGCTCCTGTCGTCCAGACGTGGAGACGCGAGCCCCCCCCCCCCCCTTGCCCCACCACCTTGTGTGTGTGTGTGTGGAGAAGTGTACCTGACCCGACCTGACCTCAGGCGGGCACCGGCCCGGAGAGCCTCTGCTCCTTTGTCGACGCCTGCCTTGGCAGGGAGCACTACGTCGGCGCGGGCGCAGAGGTGGGGCTCGCCGTCGTGAGGGCGATCGACGCCATGTACCGCTCCGCGCGGTCGGGCAGGCTGGAGGCATGTGCGCCGGGCGAAGGGGCGGGGATAGTGGGAGGTGAGGTACTAGGCTGAGCGCCGAGCGTCGCCGCCGCCCCGCCGCCGCGCCGCCGCCGCCGCCATCGACACCGCCATGACCCATGTGTGCGTTGCCGTTGGCTGTCGGATTTGTTTCTGCATATGTGATATTACGTCTCTGCTCTCTCTTTCGACATTGCTCTGGGGGGAGGCGGGGGCCCCCGGAGGCACCGTCGGTGCGCCGCGCCGCAGTGCGGAAACGGGGCCCCGGCTCTATTAGTCTTTGGCGTCGAGGCCGACAAGTGGGTGTGAGTATGCGCGGCGCGGGGCTCCATCTCGAGCGTTCGTCCCAGCGCAGCGCTGATAAAGCGCCGTCCCTCACCAAAGAGTGATGGTGGCCATTTGGCAACTGCAGCCGAACAAGGGAGAAGCGCGCAACATAGCTTGGTTGTACGCGCGATGTGACACGGCGCGGCGGAGGAGGAGCAGGGCGGGGCAGCTAAGTTTTGGTCGGGTGGCAGTGATGGCCGGCCCGGGGGCGTGAGCCGTTCTCGTCGATTATCTATACGAAATTGAATCCGCGTCACTGGGTTGGGTTTTGAGGGCATGGATGACAAAATGCTTAATGGGGGGAGCCCCGGGAGAGGGTGTGTGGGGGGTGTGTGGCTCCCCCCGCTGCCGCTCGTGGGAGCGGCCCGCGGCGCTCTGCTGTGCGTGAGCCCCAGCCTGCTGTCCGCCGTCGCGCGTTTTTTCATGGAAATCTCCGCAGGGCGCAGGCCCGCAGGCGTCCGCACACCTCACCATGCCGCCGCACACATTATCACATATCAGCTCCCTTGAGACCCACTCCCAGCACCCAGCTCCGAGGCTACATGTACATGTAGCTCCGAGGCCACCCAGCACATCGTTCCATCGACCCTCACCACTCTCTCTTGTACTACCTACCCGCAGGACCCTCCTGGGCCACTCCTGCGGAAAAGGGGTGGCCACGGTCCGGGGTTGTGTTTTTGTGTGAACTCAACCTCTCACAGACCAGCGCATTGGCCAAAGTACAGGTTTCGATCCGGGCCACCGCAAATTTTGATCAGCAAATTTCGAGGGGCGGCCGCAAATTTTGAGGTAGATTTTGATTGTCAAAACGTGTCCGTCTTGGCACAGGATAGAGCATATAGGCGGCGAACACCCAGGTGCGCAGGGACATCGCGACTCTGCCCGCTCGCTCGACCCTGGCCCAAGCTCGCCCCCTTGGGCCAGGGTGGGTGCGGCGATTGCGACGACTGCGAGTGCGGTGGCGTTTCCACTGCCCAGGCCTGCAAGAACTCGAGGGCCGACCCCAACTTTCAAGGGGCCTGCGTTTACGCGACCCCAGTTGGGGCGACGTGTGTACCGGGAACCGCCGACTTTGCCCCGGTGGGGACACTGCCGATGGAAGCAGATGCTTGGCACGACCCCGGGTACCCCGGGTGCTCTCAGCCGGGCTCTGCGTGCTCCGTTCGCGCTGCCAAACTCGCGGACGAAGCCCAGCGCCAATACCTTTGGCCGCACAATCTCTCCTGAGTTCTTCCGCGGCTTGCGCACCGTCAGCAGTTGCGAGCGAGCAGGAGAGAGAGAGAAGAGCTCGCCGCGGGGTAGGAGCGGCCACCTTGCTCGGCACCGCCCCTGCACAAGTCAGTTAGCCCACCTGTGCTGCGGTGGCAGCCCTCCTTTCTCGCTCCACCCCTAGCTCCGTCCGCCCCGCCCCCCAGCCCGCCCCCAGGCCCCCAGGCCCGCGTCCCCACCCTCCCACATCACAGCTCTCCGTCTCTGGCACTGGCCGGCAGGTTAGCTGTACTTAGTGTTCCGGGAAGAAAACTCTTTCCGTCGAGGTTTTACGTGTCGAGTAATCTGAATGCCTTCGCACCGCTCCTATCGGCGCCGCCATCATCTTGGCGAAATCTCCTTGCTCGCGCTCCTGTGCGATCATCATGGTCTCGCTGTGGTCACCTGCATCAGTAAGCTCAATTTCGGCAGCTGATGCCCTCGGCGCTGAGCGCGGGCCACATGCCGTGATAAAGCAGGGAGGCACACTGACGCACACAAGCTGGGACCGGACAGGGTCCTTTGCCACGGGAATGATCCTCTCCTGGTCCTTAGCCAACCTGACAGGGTTAAGGTACGTTGGCGAGTTCGATGAGGATGAGTACGACGGAGCAGAGGATCCAGATGATCCTGCGACAAACGGCACAGCTGGCGAAGAGTCTAGAACGACAGAGAGCAGGGCAGAAGCCGAAAGACGAACCCTGATGTACACACTAAGGCATGGGGAAATCTCCCTGTTGCGGCGAATCGGGTTGCCCATCAGAAAGGCCCTCGGGTTTGCCACACGCCTCGCATCGCCTCTCCGCGTCAGCGTTCCTTCAAACTCACAGGGACATTCTGAGAGCCAACCCCGAGGCGAGCTTCCACATCTTGAATGTGAGGGACCGCGCCTCCAACCTCGACCATCTCTTTGATCCGCTGGACAACCTTCTTTCCGCGTCCCTCCGCAAAGAGCTTCGCCGGCGAGCTCGGATGCCACCACCGACCCTCTGGAAAGCGGATGCGCCTCTGCGGGTCGTGGTTCACGTGCGCCGCGGCGACCTGCTGGGAGAACCCATAGACTAGGTCCAGCCCTGGGTGGCGCAGGTTGTGACATTTGGCGATTCCGCGACTTACTGGGCCCCTGAGCCGCTACCCGTGTGCGATTTTTTGTGGCCCGGGCATGATACTGATAGTAAACGGGTCAGAACCGGCCAAACACAGGCTACAGCCCCACACACGCGCCCGCCATAGCTCCTGGAGAGCATGCGCGAGTGACGCGCTACAAGCCGCGAGAGTGGCATCAGAGGCAGGAACGACGTGCTCTTGCTGCACCTCGCAGCTGCACCGAGTGTGCTCGCAGTGTATGCCACGGCCACCGCCTGCGGCATTGCTCTCGTGCAGCTAGGCGACGCAGGTCCATCAGCAGGGCTCATCCAATGCGAGCGCACATTGTGCGTAGCCGCAGGCAGGTGGCAGTGCACGGCCGCACACCGGCTGTGGCGGCTCGTATGCCCCCGGCAGTGCTGCTAGTCATTAACTTGCGTATTAGGGCCGCAGCAGACTGCTGCTGTGGCAACAGCAGCAGCCTGCTGCTGCCTGATTCAGTCAAGCCAGCGGTGCAGCGAGGCGTGCAGAATTCGCGTGGTTTTGTCCCTCCTGAGGCTGAGCGCATTCGAGCCCTTCGACCGGAGTTGGATGGTACCACGCGTCTCACTGAGACGCGGGGTACTGGCCATGGCCGGACTACGGAGCGTGAGGTGGCGAGCGGAGCGAGCGACAAAACAACGAGAAAAACTCGGATCTGACGATTGTCACAGAACGTCAGATCTTGCGCCACCCAGGGCTGGACCTAGTCCATAGTCATCGAGGAGGGTGCACTGTGTGCGTCCTGCAGCTCGGTGAAGATGGAGAGCTGCTGGAAGTCAGCCGCCGACTCGGCCGTGATGTCGACGGCTCGTTTGGGTCGACAGTAAATCTCCCACAACCCACGTAAATCCGTCTTTTTCAGGCACCCGGAGCCCTCCGCGGCCGCTTCTACGCCGGCGAAGCACCATCAAGCTGCTGTACGGCCCCGGCATCGCCTCCCCTGGCTTAGCTCTCAGTCAATATATTGTGCACATGGTCGGTCTCTACAATATACTCACTGACACTGAACCTCCCAGAGCTCGTCCCGGTCCGTCACGGCCATCCTCGTCCTCCGGCGGGCCCCCGGCCGCGGCGCGGTGCGGCGGCGTCACAAATCCGAACGCAGAGCACCGGGACGTGGTCGGGCGATCTGAGGCCCAGGTAGGCGAATGTATTGCCCATCCAGGGCTATCACCTGGACCTATCAACAGGCGCCTGCGGCGCCGTGCTCAGGAGTTGGTTTTCACTCACTCGAAATGTGGACGTAAAAGGGTTAAGGCGGCGTAAGGGCTGCGCAAGCGCGTCTCACGATTGAGCACTTCATTGAGCACATGCTTTTTATTCCTTTTTTTACTCGTATTGCTAGCACCTCCCACCTGAGAGAGTTTTAAAGTCGGGCGTCGGAGGCCGCGAGGGCGGTCGGAATGGGTGGCGGCGACGCCGTCACAGAGGCTAGCGACGGACGGAGGCTGCATCGACAGGGTGCACGAACTCACCATGGTCACAAGTCTTTAGTAAAACGCCAGCACTCGACACGTGACGAAGGTGTATTGGGCTCGAAGGCGCGGTGAACACAACCGCCTCGAGCGTACCGCTCAAACACGAGCCGAGGGGGCGGGAGGGGGGGCGGCGGGAGGCGGGAGCTGGGTCCAGTGCGCTCTGCTGCTGGGGGGGGTCGGCGTCGGGAGCCGTCGGGACCCCCCCCCAGCAGCAGCGCTCTGCTGCTGCGTGCTGGGCCTGGGGGGGTCGGGACGCCCCCCCCAGCAGCAGCGCTCTGCTGCTGGGGGGTCAGACCCCCCCCCCCCCTAGCAGCAGGGACGGGCTTAGAAGGGCAGGGGGGGTACCGAGCAATGTGCGGCCGCTCAAACGTCAAAGCTCAAAAGCGTGCTGCCACCTCTAAACGTACATGCAGCACTCTCTCACATCACTCACGTACGCTACGACCTTCTCGCGGACGGATAGTTTATCCGGTATTCCACCTCCTTTCCACAATCGACCAGATCGCCGCCCTCGGCCAAATCCTGTCGGTCGATGATCGAGAGGGTCGACGCCCCCCACGACGACGCGCCGGGCGATCGCGTGCCGTCAGCTCCGGCGCCACCCGGCTCCGCCCCACCGCCCTCGCCGGGCACGAGAGGCAGACCTATGTCATGCGACATCGCGAGCGTCGTCGGCGAGCCAAGGCGCCGACGATGCACCCATGTGCGCCTCGCCCACGCCTTGCACCTTCTGAGCCACATCTCACGGACGCCGGTGCACCATTCGCGCACAGGCTGCCCACGGCTTTCCAGCTCTCCACGCCGCGCTTCCGTGTCGACCCACCCCGACGGCAGTGGGGGCCGCACCCCGGC